CCCTGATTTAAATCTGATATACCATCTATAGATTCGTCTACCATTCCTTCTAACTCGAGTTTGCGATAAAAAGGACGATCCGGTAATAGCATCCAACATACAACAGAAGGTAAAGTTAATTCATCTTCATTTTCATTGTTAGGCTTTCCACCTAAACAAAGCAATAATCCATTCAGAGTAATTACAGAGCCACAAACAACTGTAGAAAGCCATTGTTTAAAAGAAAATTTGTGATAAAAAGCAAAGTATCCTGGATCATAAGATCCTTCACGTGAATAAGTAATATTAACTTTCGCTCGCCGTGATATAGTTTCATTACTATTCAAAGTAGTAACAGATTCAATAGTATTAAGTAAATAACTACGAAGGACGCCATCATAAGTGATAACAATCAATTCGTATTGGTAAATATGGCCTTCATAATATAATGGTTTATTTGACCCACGTTTGGGATCCACAAAGGATATAAAAGCCACTGGCTCGAGAAAAAAGCTTTGACCGGCTTGGGGATCATTTTCTACATCTGAGTTAATGTTAGAACTAGAAATTATCATACAGACCAATTGCCCATCTTCATTGATGATTTCAATTGACCCGTCGCTTCTTGTAGCAGCTATAATTTTAGAATCTAAGCTCCAAGCGAGACGTCTCCACTTGGAAAAAGCGTCCCGCTTTGAATTATAAATGACGTAATTTTTTTCAAACCCACTCTCACTAGTCCGAATTTCGATCTTGTGTTCTTGCAAGACTGCAAGATATTTTCCGTCTGGGGACAATTGCATTAGCCATTCGCTCGTTACTTTAGGGCGTTCTTGTAGAAGAGCAGGTGGAACAGTTGTAGAAATTATGAGCCCTTCTAAGCTACGTTTCAGACGGTGTGTTACTTGTTTGAAGACACGTCTTGGAAACTGTGCGTAAGACGGATCTTCCTTAGCGTATGTGTTGATTCGAGAATCAGGCTCAAGAACAGTTAATTCATCATCGGGTTTCCAGGTAGCAGCTACTTCGATATCGTAAAGTATGCGTTCTGAATGATTTTCGGATATCAAAAGGTCAGACATTCTTTTTTCACTTTTGATCTCATTATAAGTTGTTGCGAAGATTGGTCTGTTGAACTTCTTAGATGGTTAACGT